TTTTTTTTTTAATCTTTCATCGTTGATCCCACTTATATATGCCAGAATTCTTCCAGGGTGCAGAAAGGCAGAAGTTTTATCACTAAAAGGAATATTGCTGAGAAGGGAAAATGTGCTTTTATCCAAGGAAAAAAAAAATATAGTAAAATAGGAATTAAATACGTTCAAAGGAATATTTTAAAAGGATATGCCAAAATAACAATTTTTTAAAAATCTTCAAATAATATCAATGACTCTCAGATACTTACGTCTTCTATTTCAATAGAACTTAGTTTTATTTCTTTTCCAGATGTTGTTTTTAAGGATTAATGCAAGTTACAAACTACACTTGAAAAAGCAGTTATCTCACTTAAATGTGATAAATGATGGAGGACCTCAAAATGGGTATGTTTTTAACTTACCTTTCTACATACTGTTCCCATTTCAAATTGTTTTGTTAGTTGATTTTTATTCCTAATGCTGTTCTTGTCTGCTGTAATCATGCCTGGGCCCATAATTGTGAAATAAGCAACCTTATACTTTCCTCTGCCCCCCTCCCGTGGAGATTATATAAAGTGGTTTATAAATGGTCAGTTACATAACTGACTATATTTATCTGTTTTGAGGCTGTGTGGGTTAATAGTCCTTCTTAGGTACCCTGTAGTGTTCCTTTTATCCAAACAGTACTCAAAATCCCATTTAGTAGCTTTGTGACCATGTGAAAGTGACCTAATCTCTGTGCCTCATTTATAAAATAAGGAGAAAATCTTATTTCCTTCACAGGGTTATGAAAAACAGTGTAGAACCATCTGTATATAGAACTGTGTGTGTGTGTGTGTGTGTGTGTATACATATATTGAACATTTTATATATATTACTGCTGAAACAGTATAATATCTAAAAGAAAAACACATAGGATTTGGAGTAAGAGAACTTGGGTTAAATCCTAGTTCTGCTACTTACTAGGTATCCAACTTTGAGCAAATCTGTTACCCTTTCTGAATCTAATTTTTTTAACTTTAAAAATAGAGATGACAATAAACATTTTCCCCACAAGACTTTTATGAAGAACAGCATAGGTAAAGATATGGGGAAAAATTTTTATAAAATGTAAAACACTGACCATTTAGCTATACCTTAAAATTATTTCCTTAGTGCATTCATTACCTACCATGCATTTTTAGACATTAAAAATCTTTTTTTCCCCCTATTAAAGGAATTTCAGGCTTAAATTTCAAACTTATAGGAACATATGGAAAAAGGAAAACAGTATTTTGGAGTCAGAAGTTGACTCTGCCATTAGAAAAGAAGTACACTGAACTGATTCTTTAAAAATTATTTGCAAACTTCAGACAGCTGAATCTGTCAGCCAGGCAGACTTAAAAGAGTTTTGTGCAAAAATCTGAGTTTTCTCTTCCTTGATTATCACCTGGTTCTTCTTTTTATAAGAATTATTTGATATTTTTAGAAATTTCAAAGCCATGGAAAAATTTGAAAGTGGTACAGTGAACATGGAACACCTCTCACTTAGATACACCAGCTGTGAAAAGTTTGCCACCCATGCTCTGTACCCCATCCCACACACACACACACACACTAGGCTGAAAAAACCAAACCAGACTCACTGCTGTCAAGTCAGAACCGATCCATAGCGACCCCTCCTTGGATTTCTGAGGCAATATCACTACGGAAGTAGATTGCTCAACCTTCCTTCCAAGGAATGGCTGGTGGGTTTGAACCACTACCCTTCTGGTTAGCAGTCAAGTACCTTAGGTACTAAGCCACCAGAGCTCCTACACTAGGCTGAAGTCACGTGAAATTTGACTCCTAAAATTTTAGCATGCAGCTCTGAAAATGGTGACCTCCCGTAGAAGCATAACACCATGACTACTCCTAAGACAATCAACATTAGTTTAATAGCATCACACCAAATAATCAGATATTTCCAGCAAAACCACATGGGTGATACTGTAAAAACCTCTGTCTGGTGATTCAAATGTATCGTGCAAAATGGTACCTGCTACTCAACTTTTTTTTTCCTGAAAAGATAATAGCATATTAAGAACTTGGAATCTCTTGATATAATGTATACTGTACCCTAAAGGGAGTGTTCAGTAAAACTACTAATATTTCCAGGGCCCACCCCACTCACACCCTTTTACTTTTATTCCCGTAACTAAATCTGGGTTGATTGGTTTGCTCCTCTCAGACCATTAGTTCTGAAGCATCCAGCCTAACTCACTGCCAGTTATTTTGTTAATACAACTTTGAGGGTCAGTCCTACCTTGAAGATTCTCACTGTCACATTTTCATAGAAATGAATTCTTTGTCTATTCATATCTTTTAATGATCTCTTGAAAGATAGGATTCCTTGAAATCTTAACCTCTGACTCTAGCCTAGGACATAATGAACTACCTGCTTCAAAGGAATTTTTGTTCTTGAAGTAGCTGTACAAATGTACATACATTTTCTTTCTAATATGAATTTGTCTTTCTCTATTTTTAAAATACAGAGGCATAGAGAATGATAAAATATTGGTATTCTTGCTACCCAGAATTGATCATTATAAACATTTGTCACTTTCACTTGAAAAAAAAATTATGTAAGAGACATGACATTTCAGATGAAGTGAAATACCTCTTGACCCAGCTATTAGGCAGCATTTTTAGAGAATTTGGCCTGTGTCCTTTCAGTCCTCTCATCTGTATCTATGAAAGTTATGTAGTGCTATTTTGTAAATTTATGTGTGTTAAATTGTACATATACAGCTTGCTTTTTTCCATTTGACATTTTTACTGATTATTCTCTTTTGATACAGAAGTAACTCACTTTTTGACTACTGGATAATGTTCCATTGCATGAATCACCATGTTAAAATTATCCATTTTCCCTAGTGATAGATTTCTAGGTGGTTGTTTTTTTTCCATTACAGCCATGACACATACATGGTTCCTTATTTATGTCTACTGGCTATACTATATGTCTACTTAGCTATGCTAAGGGGATCAGACTACCTATACTTTTTCATGCTATTGGGTATTCCTAGAATATCCTCTAAAGTAGCTGTAAGGAGTTTACACTCCCACCAGTACTTTGTGAGAGTTTATTCCCCCATATCTTGCCAGTGTTTGCTGTTGTTAGATTGTTTAATTGTTGCCAGTCTGATGAGGAACAATGCCATCTTTTTATGATTCATATTTTCCTAGTTGATGATTCTGTTTATTGCTAATTCAGGTGCCCTCATCTCAGATTTTGCCTGTTTGTATTCTTTGCTCATTTTTCTCTTGGGCATTTTAATCTTTTTGTTGGTGGTGGTTTTCTTTATATGCTCTCATACCCGGGAGCTCTGGTAGCATAGTGCCTAAGGCGTTAGACTGCTAACCAGAAGGCTGGCGGTTCAAACTCACCAGCCATTCCTCGGAAGGAGGATAGGGCAATCTACTTCCATAGTGATACTGCATTGGAAACCCAAGGAGGGGTCTCTGTGAGTCAGGTCTGACTCAATGGCACATAACAACAACAAGAAGAAGCTCTCATACCAATCGTTTGTTGGTTAGTTATTAGAAATATTTGCTTTGCTTAGCTTTTTCTCTTTTATCGAAGAAAATTTTGCAACTTTAGTGGAAAGCATATTTCATATTTACATACTTTCTTGTGTAGACTATAAATAATTACGTTTAGCTACTGATAGTATGAAAATAGAGATTTATGTTAATTTGATATCTTATCTTTGTACAGTTTTGTTCTTTACTGAATCATTGTTGTCAGTTTTAGTTGATGTACTTATTAGACCATCTTATTACATTTAGACTCTCATTAAATTTTTTAATTAGTTGAGTTTCAAGTAAAAATTATGCCATGTGATGAAGGTTGAAATGTTAAATACATAACAGTTATTTATAAATTAAACAGTAATGCAAATATTAAGATATAAAGAGTGCTTACAACATCTTGCCCCCATGTAGTCCTGCAATCCAGAATTTACTTGTGCATTCAATACTGAAATTAAGCTAGATTTCCTCTTGACAAACCTATAAATCAACATCTCTTACTATGGGCTACATTTTTAAGAATCAAACTTTTTATTAATATTTTTATTTAAATGCTTGGAGCCTGGTGTTTCTGTTATCTGAGGGAGTATATAGAAGACATAAGAGTTAAAATCAGATTGAGATCAGACACTTGAAAAAGTATGTTCAACCTTCATAGGAATGATGCAGTAAGATACCAGTTTATTCGTAAAACTAAATTAAAAGCAGGAGAAATATATTCTTACTCTTTTAGAAATCAGAAGTGCCTAATCACTCATCCCTCCTGCCTCTTGGGAATTACTCATGGAAAGATGGGGTTAAGGTACTTTGCCCGTTTTAGTACTTTGTACAGATTGGGTAAAACTTGGCATCCACCTTTTCCTGGCTCAACTGAGCCCATCACCCAGGTAAAGGTGTAAAAGCTGAGGCTGCCAAGAGTGAGCGAGAGTCCTGCCAGCATGCAGCCGCATGCACACTCACCACCTGCACCAGGCCCACAACAGCCAGCCTTGCTTCAACTTCTCCATTTGTAAAATGGGATAATAGTACCTATCTTCTGGGGTGATTTCTAAGTGAAAGCACTTTACAACCTGTAATGTGGTATCAAAATGCTTGTTATTACCTGTTTTCTTCAACAGCTGTGAAGACCATTTTCAGATTGGCTAGTAAGGCATATGCATCTGGAGTCATGAAATTTAGACCATTTATTTCCTCCTAGACAATCACAATTGGGAGCAATTTAGAGAGACATTTTTCCTAGTAATTCATTCTCCTGAATCATCACTATGGCCAAGTTTAAGAAAGACTGGACTGGATAATAAGATTCTTTATTTGAAATGTACCCAGCTCCTTGATTTCTAAAGTAATGCTTTCCTTGTGGGTCATTTGTGTCAGTAGGTGTTGGTCCAGCAACTAGAAAGGCGAAGTAACAGCCTCTTCTGTTAGTGAGGGTAACCTGTCTTCTGTGCCAGGTACCAGAGGCCAGCAGGCACTTTGTGTGCATTTTCTTACTTCTGATCTTTATCATCATTTTAGAAATAAGGAAACTGAGACACAGAGAGGTCAGGTAAATTGCTTGCGATTACACAAAAGTGGCAGAGCAGGATCAGCTCCAGGAAGCCTGACTCAACAGCCTATGCTTTTACTCCTGTAGGCTGCCAGTACTTCTGAATACCATTTTAAAGGAAAAGGTAAATTAGTAAATGATTAAAAAAAATAATATATAAGGTTAAAAAAGAAGGAAGAAAGATTAAATCCACAGAAAAGTATATGTAAATTGGAAGATTTGAGAAACCAGCTCCCAAATAATGGTTGTAAGCAGTGTCCTTTATGATCAGGTTAAGGTGGTTTGAAGGACTAACTTGAACTGCTTCATTCTGGTGTGTGGAGGTCACTCAGGTGGCCACGGAGAACTAGGGCTTCACTGACTCTCATGTTCCTGACATGGAACCTGGGAGCCCAGTGTGTACCATTGCACACTTAATGACTATAGAATCCTATTTGTAGCTCACCACCAAGAGAACATCCTTGTCCTAAACTAGAATTTCTTTGTAAAGCATTTGACCTTAGGATTTTAAAAAAGATAGTCATTAGAAAATTGTTGGTTGTTAGATTATTAACTCATAGTTAAAAATTTATCATTCGATACTTCCTTGAATTTCAGACTGTGCTTCTTTCTGTATAATAGGAGGAAGAGCTTCATTTATCCTATCAATATTTATTGCACACTGTTTGCAAGGCATGAATACCTCAAGTCACTCTACACCAAACCAGCGTGATGTGACTATAAATAAGTTATGTTGGTTGAGACCAAGTTGAAAGCTGCACATTTTATACAGAGTTGAACTTCATTCATTTTTCCACAAGGAAAAGTCCCACTGTGTACTGATGTTAGGAAATTCAGACCCATTATTTCACAATTACATTTTCATTGCCCATTTGAAAAAGTATAGTTTTTTCAAATGAGCTACATAAAGACATATCACTCATCTGCCCTAAGGACCTGATTGCCACACTGGGAAAAAATCATGTATAAGGTCATTCCCTGTCCTGCCTGAGATATTTTATGGGTGAGGGCTGGGGATCATTGTTACCCTGCAGACATTAATATTAAAAACGAGCCCTTTACTTTCACAAACGATTAAAAAATCTGCCATCCATGATTAAACTGTTCTGTTTTTTTTTAATCCAATTCTTAAGACATTTTCCAGGTTTTTTTCTGCTAAGCCTCAAAATATAGCACATTAAAAAAATGTGAAATTGCCATTGAACAAAGCAGTAACATCAAATTAGCATTTATATGGCATTTAAAAAAAAAAGGCATGTTTCCTTTTTTTTTTTTAGTGAGTCAAAGGGTAAATAATTCCTAGTGATTCTTAAATAGTTCAGTGTTTAAAGGAAGCACTCTTTTTGGTATAGGCAGCTCCAGATTCAAAAGGTAATTCTTTCCTTTTTCATCAAATGTTGCTTATTGATTAACAGTGTCAAGTTTTCTATCCAGTAGTAGGTTAAGTCCCAGCCTTTATACCTTTGCCTTGATTTCACTGTTTTTATCACATACATGAATACCCTAGTGACAACCCGTCAAAAACATTTTAGTTTAACCTGCTAATCTTCTCTATATTTTAATTCAGGCTTCATATAAATCTGATTTAATCACTTTACTGGCCAGAATTTATTATGAAACTGACTCCAACATGCATTGGTTTATTCCTTTTTCCAAATTTTGATTGTTAAAATAAAAATAAAGCATTCCATCCCTAAATATACGATAGTAGGTCTTAAAATGTTAAGAGAAATATGTTGACATTTGACCTTTAGGAAATCTGAATTTTAAATAGTATTTTAGGAGCTTGGATAAGATTTTGACTTTGTGAGCATTGCCGTTTTAATTATATAAATAGAAACTGTAAGACTTAAAAATAATCTTCTCTTCACTGTTTAGGTTGGTCACAGCAGATGTAGCTTTTTACACTGGAAATCTTCAAGCCTTAAAAGGCCTTAAAGATTTGGACCTAAATATGGCCGAGATCTGGGAACAGAAGAGGTGATGACATACTGGAAAACTGGGTAGTTGATCTGACCACAGGATCTATGTGTTCATGAAGAAAATCTGGATGCCTGTGATTGGAGAACTGAACGTGGAGCCCAAACTGAACTGGGGTGGGAGTAAGGGAAAGGAAAGCATCAGTGTTGGGAAACTGGATTCAGTGGGATTGACAGGGAACGCTATTTTTGTGCATCCTTCAGTGAGGAGTAACTGATCAGGTGTCTATAACATTTTTCATTCTCTCTGGAAACAGACTCAGGTTTCTTTGGACCAAATCCAAAAGAACACATAGCTGTAACACAGCTGTAGTTGACTAGAATGCTCTGTATACTTTATATTAAAAAAACAAAAATGCTTTGCATTTCTTTCAGTGCAATGAAATTCATACGGTGTCCCACCTTATTTAATGATGGTACAATTTAAAATATTAAAATCTTAGTCAACCTCTGTAGAAAGTTTTCTCTATGAAAGTAAAGCTGTTTGAAAAATTATTTTTTTACAGATCTTTCTATACAAAATAAACATCTTTTGATTGCTTGGATTTAGGAATTCAATTTTTGTTTTAGTGACAATGTCAAGTTTTAGGCTTTGTGTTCCCCATGTCTAATCTTTAAACCACCGCCACATGTCGACTGGGTAAAGCCTTCCAGAACAGTCTCAGTATATGAAAGACTGATCAATCGCAAGGAATAATTGAAGAATAAGATAATTGGCACTTATTTATGCAACTACTAATTTAAAACACATTTCAGAAATGGTATATAGAACGCTGCAGTTTAATATAGCTGTATTTTTATAAGGTATCTATGAAGTTTTTTCTTTTGCCTTTTTATTTCTAAGAGGTAAAAATACATATTCATATAATTTTTCTTGTAAGTTCTCATTTTAACATTTAGGTAACATATGAAGCATGGCGCCCCCTTGTGTTTTTGTTTTTAAGTTATTTTTGATGTGTATAATGGACAAAGACCAGGGAGAAATAGACCTTTTAAAACATAGGCTGCTGTGTTGGGGCCAGAATTAAAAGGTGATGAGTAAAGTTGTTTAAGGACTTTTCTAATACCTGCTGTCAAACCAGAATCAGCAGCACTCTGCAAATGAAAGTGCCTGTGCCTCACTCACACCTCACCCCGGCAGAGTGCCTAACCTCTTGGTGATTGTGTACAATGACGCTGTCTTGCTTTGTGCTCTTTAGTTTCCTACAAGGAAAGCCTGTTTTTATTCCTTTAACACTGCAGAGGTTTGTCATTGGTTCTTAAACTGTCTAAAATAAAGCTATAAAAAATTACCAGACTTTAAAAGACAACTTCTTTTAATAGTATATTGTGAACTTTAAATTAAACAAGCAGCCTACTCAAAATGAGCATGGAGATAATGCCAAATGTGATGATTGATTCTTAGAGAAAAGGCACAGCTGAACTACCAGCAGACTTGAAAGATTTTTCACGAACATTTTTTGGTGACAAGAAGCAAGCTTCAAGAAAGGAAGCTTCAAGGAAAGGGATCCTTTAAAGTAACACCCCCACCTCACTAGGTTGTTGAACCAGGATGTGAAAGAAATGCCCCACCTCAGCCTGCCCCATCCCCTCCAGCTCGGAAAAGAAACACCGCTTTGTTTCAGTAAATGGAGAGTCTGTGGAAAGCATGGCAGGCATCCCAGCTTTAGAACAAGATGAAAGGTACTAAATACCTTCATTCAAGTTCAACTCCTTTAGAAATAATGATGTAGCAAAGATTCTTAGAAATGCAGAAATTGGGTTTGCTAGTGTTTGACCAGTGAGTACGTACTTAAATATTCCAAGAACAAATCTTCCAACAACTCACAGTAACTGTTTAGAAGAGTAAACCATTTTATTTTACCATTTCATAAAGTTATCATTGAAAAGTGTAAGTGTACACATGTATTGCTTCACAGCTTTACTTTTGAAATAACAAGCAATTCAAAGGGACCATCACTGAGGCCTCTGTTCAGATCTTCCAGCAGAGCTGCCCCGGTTTTGAAATTAAACAATATTGCACTTTAAGATTAACTTTCAGGATTCTCTTCAAAGAAGAAAAGTATTGCTTCCATCTGTGCTCTTCTTAGACTAAAAGCATACTGCAGAAAACTCTACTTTAAAAATTAATTCTGCAGGATATAGTAACAGAGTGAAGTACCTGCCTATTTTAGAGTCCTAGAGAACATGTGATCATTGTAAGAAACTATAGCACATAATTAGTATAAAGTGTGCACGGTATTTTTCATTTCAGTGGTCCAAGATGCGAAGGTTTCCAGATACAATCTTGTTCTCTAATACTGCTCCAGGTGGGATATCAATTCTGTCACCATGATTTGCAATGATGATAACTGTTCCCTAAGTGATGAGGGTAAACAAAGACAAGAGGGTACTTGACACTGAAATGTAATTATTTTACAATTACCAAGTTTATACAGACTTCCTTTTACAATGGAGTAGTTGTATTTATAAACTATAGTAAACATAAGCAGCAAACGTGTTAAGGAAAATTGTAATACGTCCCTCTGTAACAATTCTGACAGCAGTTCTAGATTCCTTGCCTTCTTGTCGGGGTGAAGATACCAAGAGTGGGACATGGACCTGGTGCCATAGCATAACTCATCCGAGTGAAGGCATACTTGTAAGGCTGCCAGCATTACCCACACTTCATACAGAAACTAAAAGATTCTCAGTTTACATTTACGTATCAGTTTTGTGGTTGCTGATTGTTTAGTAACAGTTTACTGATACAGGTGAGACTATTCAGGCACTATCAGCATAAAGTCAGTTTAGTAAGTACATTTTCCTTTGTTTTTTGCATTTAGATCAAGTAGATTTATTGGGAAAGGCAAATGAAATCTAGGTCTGAGATTTTAAAAATAATGGTTTAAAAAATAAATAAGATAATGGTTTATTAGGGAAACCTGTTGTATCTTTGGTTCTGAGTTTCACTATTTCTATATCCCTTCCTGTTTCTTATGCTAGGCTGGAATGATATTTATCAAAGTACCCAGGTACTACAGTAATGTGAATAAACATCTTTATTCTGATAACATAGTAGCAGCAATGCACTAAACTCAGTATAAGTGAGTGGTCATTTTTTGACTTTTCATTCAGATTCAATAGTCATTTTATTAAATTAGCAATAGTGACCTAATGCTAATTTAATAGCAATCTTTTAAGACTGTCACATTTCAATAAAACAGTTCAGTTACTAAATAGTGCTTGCATTCCATGTGAATGCTATTTTCCCACAAATTCCAACTGATTGTACTTTAAATTGTATAATCTCCAGAAGACAGTATTAAAACTAAATACTGCAGGAAGCTAGTTCATGTCATTATCTACTCATTTTTAAAATGCATCTATATACATCTGGTACGACTATGAAGTATTCCTTAAAATAAAGGTAAATTTAGTTTGGAACATGAAACCCGTTTTGTAAAACTATAAAGAACTATAATTTTCAAAACAGCACACCTTTAATGAAACATTCTTGCCAAATGTCACATCTCCTGAAACTGTGAGGTGATCCAATTCAAGCATATCTGGTATACTTTCAAATCTCCTTAGATAATCTTGAACCTTAAAGAAAAACAGAAACCTATAAATTGTTTCAACATGGGTTACCAGGAAAATGGCTGATATTAATAAAGTATCTTACGTGAACCATAAAAAATGTAGGAAAAGCATATTTATTAAGCACTCATTATATGTGAGATCCTGTGTATGACAGACTAGGAGATATGAACATGGTCCCTATAACCAAACAATCTACAATCTAACAGCAGATCAGACATTTAAAAAAAAAAAAAAAAAAAAAAACAGCCACCATGCTGAAGGCCGACTGAATAGTCCAGATAGTCTGGATTTAGTTGGAAAAAGGAAGGGAAAGATCATCATAATTTGAGGCAATCGAGAAGGCGAGCTCAACTGGAACTGGGCTTTTATGAGTATGAGTCAGAAGAAATGGAGCACATTTCAGGAAAACCAACAGCATAAACTATCATAAATTATCACTCTTTGCTGCTTATCTCCCCAGATTTATAAGAACTAGCAATTGTCCTATGTGGACCTTATTTCCTGATTCACTAAGAAAAATAGAAGCAATGAAAAAACTTCCACTAGCCTCCACCACCACCCACTTGAAGAAGGGTGGAAAGAATGTGAAGTAAAAAAAGTGAGACTAGGTGGAAAACCATTGGCAAGCTCATCCCAGGATGAGGGAAGGATGGCAGGTCCTTGTATCACCAGCATTTTCCCCAGCCCAGGGTGATGAAAGAGGCATCAAAAAACAGGGAGATGCCTAAAACCTCTGATGCTATCCTGAAAACCCTAGCCACCCACACACAGGAACCAGAATCATCCCCCATCAACATATAAGTGAGTACACACATCCATACCAGGTGGCCCTAAACCATAAGCAGGACTAGAATATATTTCAAAGCAACAGCAACACACTTTAGACCAGCCAAAGGCTCACCCTGTCACTTTGTTACCGCTGCAGTATTTTACATGCTACATTTTGTGGATTCCTCTTACCATGTTAGGGCAAGGTTTTATTATACTTGCTATTCCCCCTACCTGGAATGCTTTTCATCCCAAATACCTGAATGGTGCCCTCAGTCAAATCCTCAGGGAGGCCACCTCTGGCCACCTTGTATAAAATTAAACCATGACCACCATCCCTACCCATGCATGCCCTAGTCCTTACCCCTGCTTTATTTTGCTCCCTAGTCATGAGGCATACTGTGCATTCAATGTACTTACTGCAATCCTTCTCCCACTAGGACATCAGTTTCATGAAGAAAGTCTGTTTTGTCTACTACTACATCCCCAACCTAGAACACCATTCACCCTGTGGTAGGGACTCAATAAGTAAATTTTGGTTAAACTAGAATTAACACACTCTCACTGATGAAAGTAGTATAGGTCTTGGAAAAGACGTAAGATAAAATATTACAAAATTTAAAATTCTTTTCTACTCCCTGTAGCAATCATGGCTTTATCTTCTATGGTTAATTCCCTTTAGAAGACATCAGAGATGGTGGAGTATAATAGCTGTGAAGAGTGTAATTAGACTCCATATGCATATTCTAGCTTTACAATTACACATTTAAGAAATACAGATTCATGTGTATTTCACATCTCTATAATTAAACATTTAAGAAATACGTACCTTTGTAAAAGAACTGCCTAGTTTAACTAAGGGCACTGTAGGAAACTCCCGCTTCTCACTCATTGTCAAAGAACCGGCATTAAGGCTGTAGAGGTTTGACATCACAAGCAAGAGATCTGATGTGGTTTTGACAGGCAGAAAACGACTCCTAGGAACATTAATACCTAGAGAATTTTCAAAACTTTTAATAGCGGCCCCTACTGCAGTTTCTAATTGAATGACATTCAGGCCTCCATCCAAAGTCTGTAAGAAAAGGGGTGAAAAACATTTTAGGCACCTATAACTCATTCTCACATAGACTAGTTAATATTTGGGGAGTAGTTTCAGAGACCCACCAGAGGGATGAGCATTTCAAGAAATGACATTTACTAAACATCTTCTTCTGTATACCAGGCTCTTACACACACATGATCTTTTTTTCAGTCATGTTTCAATACATACTATGCCGTAGTATTACAATTTTACTGATAAGGAACCGGAGGTTCAGATAACTGCAAGATGGCTATGGCTAAACAGCCTGTAAGTGTCAGAGGCAATAACTTAAGACTTCAGTAGGTCCCCAACTTCTAGCTCATAGTCCAGGGCTACTCAGGGGCACCACAACTTGCACACACACGGATGTGCACAGAGTCTGGTAGGCAGGGCCAGGAACTGGAGAGACTGACTAGGCTAGAAGGAGTGACCATGGGATAGATGGGCCAGAGGGCAGGCAGGGGTCTCTGTGGGTTAACTATGATCTTGGGAATCAGGGAGCCAAGTAGACTGCAACCTTGGCTTACCTTTGGATTCACAATGATTTCCATGTCAATAGCATTCTGCTCCTGTAATCGCTTAACTGCTGCAAGAGAGATCCACAGGTTGTTTGTGTTAAATATTTTGAATTTTGATACAGACTTGAACTCATCAACATGGGCTTTTGGCACTTGAGCAATTTCCACCAGTCTCAGTTTGCCTTCATACTGAGTGAGTGTCCCACCCTAGAAAGGCAAAAAAAACAGTAAGTGCATCTACACTTCTCCCCATCACAACCATACTGTTCACACAAATTCTGGTATGAGACTGCCTCAGAAATAAAAAGCATCTGCAATGATTCAATCTGTGACACAGTGCAACATAAGTTTAAAGGTAGAACTGAAGAAAATAATTAAGATTGTTTCACATGTCTTGTCTATAATAAAAGCCCTGGGAGCACACCAGGGTCCTCCTGACCTTCCTAAGGTCTGCACAGGAACAGCCATTCTTCTGACGCTCAAACCACCCAGTGACTGGCTCTGGGATAAGGGAAGAAATGGGAAGAAGGACAAGTGGATGACAGGTGACCTTGGAGTAGCCTCAGTTTAGAGATGTTCTTGCAGCCACTAGGCCACAAAAATATGGGAAGAGGGACATTCACTCACATGTGAGGGGAATGTTTGCAAGACACACAACCCAGGCCAGGGACTCACTATCTAGTATTCAAACACTGTCCACTTTGCTTATTCCCTGTGGGTAAGTAGTAAAGCCACATGTACCATGTCATCAAAAGCCAAGTGTCATGACCACCAAACATGCAAGGTAAGAAAACAAATACGTGTTTTGCATCAAAACAGCTATAGAGATACTACAGTGATAAAACACATGTACACATATAAATACCAAGTAGAAATAGTCAATTTTCATTAAAGGGACAATGAACAAAAACCAGAAGAATATTAAAAGTTTGAACAAAGTGTTTTCATATGTTTCAGATTTATCCTGTGGAACCATTTTTAGTTAAAATTACTCATACAGAGTATCTTTAAAAAAAGATTTTACAACTATTAGCTCTGGTTTTCTGATCCACACAATTATGAGACACTCCAGGTCCTTTACAGAATGCCATCTCACTCTGTCTTAGAATGATGTCAAGCGATTAAAAAAAAAAAAAAACAGTTTGAACTGCATAACCTATGAAATGTGAAGACGAGAATGCCCAGACTGTACCCTCTCAGTATTTACCTTCACATCTGCACGTGTTTTATTTGTGACTTCCATGACAAACTCACAGCGTTTTCCATTGGGTGAGTTCATTAAATGATTAAGAATATAAAGATCCACTGTGGCACCCAGATTATCTATGTTTGACACAAAAATATACTCTTTGCCTTCTCCTATGAAGGTATCCAGCAAACCAGAGTTGTAGAAACTGGCATAAATATCACCATGACCTGGAGGGTACCAAGCTTCTGTATTTTCCCCCGAGTATGATACATCCTTTGCTATAGGCAGTAAAGATTCCTTATTAATCCTTGGGTACCTTTGGAAAAAAAAAAATTATTCTTTGTTATCAACTCTGTAGAGTACCCCAGACCTTCAAGTTAATGCACTAAAATTAAATGAAATTTCCATCCTTTTCAGAGTCTATCAATAGTAAGCAATTTAATCATAGGCATACCTTCGAAATACTGCAGGTTTGGTTCCAGAGCACCACAACAAATTGAGTATCAGAATAAAGCAAGTCACACCAATTTTTTTGGTTTCCCAGTGCATATAAAAGTTATGTTTACACTATACTGTAGTCTATTAAGTGTGCAATATCATTATGGAAAAGTTTGAAATATTTTGAGAATTACCAAAATGTGACACAGAGACACAAAGTGAGCACATGCTGTTGGAAAAAGGGAGCCTTGCTCAGCGCAGTGTTGCTACAAACCATCAATTTGTAAAAACAAACAACAAAAAAATGCAGTACCTGTGAAGTGCAGTATAACAAGGTACACCTGTATAGGTAATTCCATTTAAGACAATCTCTCATATCTGTGTTATCCAAAATTTGTTCTCTAGACAGTAAATGTTGCTGCATAAAAAAGTTTTCCTCGGTCATACAGATAGAACATCCCCATATCTTTAGCAGAGTAATGTGTTTTATTACTCTCCAAAAGGAGGGATTTATTAAGTAAGTTTTCTCAAACATTTCTTTGTAGGATTTTTCTTTTTTCTGAAAACTTCTGTGAGAAAAGTTTCCTGTATACAAACAGATACATTCAAAGATGCTTCTCTTTCTCTTGCAGAAAATCAGCAGCAAGTTAGTGGTCAGAAATGCTGTCTGCCGCCACTAATGCAAACACAGGTAGGGGCTGAGTGTGCGGGAGGCCAGAAGCCAAGGAGCCAGAACTGTAACGGAGTGAAGACCAACCAGAAAATGGAGGCAAAGCATCTGTGACATAAGAAAACATCCATAATGTGGATGAACTTGGAAGACATTATGCTGAGTGAAATAAGTCAATCACAGAAGGACAAATATTGTATTACTCTGTTACCGTAAAAAGTCAAGGAAAGGTTTATATATGGAAGGAAATTTTCTTTGTTGGTGACCAGGGGTGGGAGGGGAAGAGAGGGAACACTGCTAGATAGGTAGAGACAAGTACTGATTTAGATGAAAAGAAGGGCAAATTACCAAATGTGAGTGATCAACATGGTGGCACTGAGGAAGAGGAAGACACAGAGAGGTTCATGGGAGGTACAGACAACAAAGACGAACCCTTTTGCACATTAACAGTACTGCATTGTCAGTGAAGGCAAACATGGGTATACAGGTGGACAGATGGGTGGGCAGGCAGGTATGTCCATGCAGGGGGGAGTGTACCTAAGACCATGTATAGGGCTGGTAGACAGTGTTTCTACAAGTGTATTTGTATGTTCTGTAGAAATTCCCAGGTGTATAGTAGAGCTGACAAGGGACAAAGTTGTAGTCACTTCTTGGGCACAACCAACTACCAAAGGGAGCTAGTAGTTGGACCTATGGGCTTGGGACTATAGTCGCAGGGAACATCAAACTCAATTGGCACAACATACTACACAAAACATTGTTCCACAAAACATTGTTCCACCTCCTACTTTGGCAAGTAGTGACTGGGATCTTAAAAGCTTGTAAGCGGCCATCTAGATGCAACGACGGGTCTCTCCTTGTTCAGAGCAAAGAAGAATGAAGAAAACCAAAAATTCATGGAAACAATTAGTCCAAGCAATTGGTACACCATGTAATACTCAGCCTATACGACTATGTGACCAGAAGAAATAGATGGTGCTCAGCTACCACTGTCAACCACTTGGAGGGGGATCTATGTAGGAGATCCTGGATAGAGAGGGAGAAGAATGTGGAACAAAACTCAAAATCATTTGAAGAAAAAAAAAAAAAGGGACCAGGTTTGTTGGTCTGATAGAGCCTGGTGGAACCACTGAGACTATGGCCCCTAGCCCATCAGGTTGGGAATTGAACCCACACCTATGGCTCCCAGCCAAACAAAAGACAGGCATATGAGGTGAACATTTACCTGAGGTAGATACACTCCTTGGAGAGAACAATCATGGGAGAATAGAAGGGCTGTGTATGCACAAGGAGACAGCTCAGGGGGCAGGAGTGCATGGAGGGAAGGACACAGGGAAGAGGTAACTATGGGGAGGAGGTGCGAGGGGAGCTGTTGCGTTGGGGTAAATTGTAGTCAATGTCATGAGATAAAGTGTATGTGAACTGCTGTATGGAAAGTGAATTTGCTCTGTAATCTTTCACCCAAATCACAGTAAAAGAAAAGAAAATGTCCTTGGAAATACAGAGCCAAAAAAAAACTCCAAAAACTAATGGTACAACTTTAGAAATATCCCAGTGAGTAGTTCAAGAAGACATGTGGTTCATGAGTAGTTCATGAAGTTCACCCTTAAATGGAAGCCTTGCTTCCCCAGATGCCTGGGCTTTACCCCAACCCATCATCTGCGTTCCATTTCACTCTCCTCTCCTCAGAAAAGACCTTCTCTAGAATTGATACATTTCCCCCAAGCCTATTCAGTATGTTGAAGAAATTTCTTCCCACAGGTAAGAAGGTGATCTTGTGGCACAGATGTGGCAAAGATTTTCAGACATACTTGGAGACCAAGCACACCCTTAGACCTAAACTCTGCTTTAATATTCTTGGCTAGGACACTGTTCAACATACAAACTCAAAGAGATTCTTTTTTAAGAATTGGAAGTTACAAAATCACAGAGTGATTCTAACAGTCCCACATCTAATAACCAATTCTCAGCCTTCAAAGGCAGCAAACAGGCTGTCCATGATAAACAAGGCAAAGACACCCTTCCTCCCCAGTGATACCTCCAGAACTCATCTTTTTGCTCCCTGTACCTGCTTTGATTAAATGTGTAGATTTTCACACGACAATGATTGTACTTCTGTAGTATTTTTTTTGTATCTTCATCTGTGTTAAAGGAGTTCATTAGAACGAGAGGAACATCTGTATTGTAGGTTTTGTTCAAATGCTGGGGGAGGGAAATGACAGTCAGATTACCCAGATTTACTTTTCTTTTATTTAAAAATTTAATGGTTAATCAAAAACTGTCTAAAACACCAATCTATTTAACATAACAGAATATACAGATTTGACATAACTGCTTACCATAAGCCAGACATTTTGCTAAGCAGTTCCTCATGTACTTGCTCACTAAAGCAAAACCCTCTGAGATACAAACTACTGTCTGCACGTTATGAATGACTGCATTGAAACTCTGAGGGGTGGTGACTCAGCCGCAGAGCCAGGGCCCACCACGCTCTGGACCAGAGCAGCATGTGTGGCCACAGTGCTCTGAGGCTTCACGTGTGCGGGCAAGCTCTATGTTCTGAGCACCGTGGGGATGAAAGTACAAGCATTATCAAGACATGGCTCCCTATTATCAGGATTAATGGCCAAGAATTCTGAACGACACCCAAGTGAAATTTTTTCAATTTCTAAGCGGTAACTCAGACTGGGAAGAAGAATGAGGTCTTAGAAGTCAGGCTGCCCCCTGTGTTCATATTTTAGTTCTACACTTACAACTAGCTTGGGCATCCTGGGCAAGTAACTTGACTTCTCTATGCTTTGGTTTCCTCATCTGTAAAATGGAAATAACAGTACTTACCTGAGTTGCTAAAAGGAACAAATGAGTCAATTCATGTAAAACTCAAAAAAAAACCAAACTCACTGCCATCAAGTCAAATCTGACTTGATGGGTTTCTGGGGCTGTAAATCTTTATGGAAGTAGATTGCCCCATCTTCCTTCCATGGAGTGCCTGGTAGGTTTGAACAGCCAACCTTCTGGTCAAAGTCAAATGCTTTAAGCCCTGAGCCACCACAGCTCCTTAATTCATGAAAAGAGCTTACAACAACAGTTGGCACACAGTAAATACTAGATAAATGTTAACTCTGTCACTGCTAGTGTTATTACTGACGTTGTCAGCATCATATTAGGCTAATGATAAAGAAATGAAAAAGATAGGGCCAACTGCCCTGCACAGCCTAATGTCTGTGCTCAGTAACTTAATAACAGAAAAGTCAAGAACAGTTCTGAACACCTATGGCATCCATCAGGTATATGAGCTTCTCCCCAGCCTACCAAAAGGAGTGAATAAAGCCAGGTGGCCCCACCAGTGAGGAAGGTAGCCACTGGAAAGAAAGGGGGCAAAGGAGTTGGGGGAATCAAAGGCGAATCCTAACAGATGTAGAGACTTCAGCAACCATAGATGCTGTTTAAGATTAAAACCTTTGGCATCACCCTAAGAATTTGTCCTTAGGAACACCAATACACTAATACCAAGACTAAAGACAGCAAGCTCTCTGACTAGTTCAAATCCATATCTGCCACATTTTATAATGAAACATTTATAGTAACTTAAAAGATCTATTCAAATATGTCTTCTTTTAGTATCAAACAAGAAAGGCTAAATGTAACTCACCTCAATTTGCTGAACGGTCAGATCCAAGAAGGTGTTCTCATTCCTCACTCCAATCAGGCTTTTAGGGCCCTTGCAGCCCATGCTAGTTCCCAAACCGCCATTGAGCTTCACCACCACCAGCTTGTTCAACACGGAAGCTATGTTATCAGGTAAGCCCCTGGCCTTTATCTTTTCATAGGGTTGAATCTGAAAGGAAAAAAAAATATATATATACACACACACACACACACACACACACACACACACATATGTAACTCACGCAGCTTTCTGAGATGTTAAAGGAGATCAAATCCAGGGCTACTTCCATGTTTCTTTAAAGTTCTGGTTTCTCTACAGAAAGTTTCAACTGAACTTCCTTTAGCTTCCCGGGCCCTTTTGGCTCAAAATCATGTTTGTTTGTTTTTAATTTTATTGTGGTGAAAATATATATAACAAAACATAGGTTATCTCAACAACTTCTGTGTGGACAATTCAGTAACACTGACTATATTCTCCGAGCTGTACAATCACTCTCACTTTCCTTTTCTAAATCATTTCACCACCATTAACATAACTTCAATGCTCCCTTAACAAAACTTCCCCTCTCCCCCTCTCTCCTGCATCTGATAATCACTAATAATCTCTGGTTTCTATATATTTGCTGATTCCATAAAATCATAACATATTTGTCCTTTTACGATGGACTTCTTTCACTCAGAATGATGTTCTCAAAGTTCACTCATGCCGTAGCATGCATCAGGACTACATTTCTCTTTATGGCTGAGTAGTACTCCACTGTATGTGCATACATTTTGTTTATCCATTCACTTGCTGACAGACATTTCAGCTATTTCTACTTTTCGGCTACTGTGAAAAGTGCTGCAACAAAAAGTGGTGTACAGGTTTCTGCGTCTGTTCCTGCCATCATGTCTTCTGGCTGCATACCTAAGATCCTCCTTCACGCTTCATCTATTTGCTTTGTTTTTGAACTTTTGATTGTGGTTTGGGTGAGCTTACAGAGCAAATTCGTTCAACAATTCATACCTATTTTTTTGGTGACATTGGTTGCAATCCCCACAATATAACAGCACTCGTCCCACTCCCACCCGGGGTTCTCCATTTCCATGTGTCCTTCTTTCCCCTGCCTTCTTACCTTCTGAGCTTTGTTTTTGGGCAAATGCTGCCCACTTGGTGTCATACAGTTGACTGTACTAGGGCATAAACTCTTCCCAAGTGTATTACTCAATTTATAGGCCTGTCTATTGTTTGAATCATAGCGACCCTTCCTTAGGTGTTCGAGGCAGTATCACTATGGCAGCAGATTGCCCAACCTTACTTCCGAGGAGTGGCTGGTGGATTTGAACCTCCAGCCTTCTGGTTAGCAGTCAAGTGCCTTAGGCACTACGCTACCAGAGCTCCCATTACTCAATTTATAGGCCTGTCTATTGTTTGAATCCCCAAGGGTGGGTTCAGTTCCAGGTTTGAAGGGTGTCTAAGTGTCACAGTCTCGAGGTTCCATGACTTGTTATCCCCTTCCCCCTCCAACACACACACACACACACACACACACACACTTGGGCAAAGACAGGTACCAATCATTTGATTTCAGGAAGCAAGGACACTTTGGTTTAAAGCTTATTTGCTTATTGTTGCAAGTTAAATTAGGTGGTAAGCACAGCTTTCCATCTGATAAATCACCCTATATGTCTACAGAAGTTCTTGTTGTTCCATCATTTGTTTGGCATTTCAGAGAAATTGCTAATACTGCTTGGAAGAAAAATAAAAGCCCCTTTTTAAAGAAAAAAAAAAAAAAAACCACTGCTGTCAAGTTGGATCCGACTCATAGGGACCACTTCTTGGGTTTCCAAGGTGGTATTGCTACGGAAGTAGATTGCCCAACCTTCTTCCCGAGGAGGAGCTGTGGGTTTGAACCACCAGTCTTCTGGTTAGCAGTCAAATGCCTTAGGTACTATGCTACCAGAGCTCCTTTTTTAAAAGAAAGAAATAAAAATTAAAAACATACAGATAAACAGAAGAGATTAAATCCCAATCCAGTGTCACATCACTAGAAAAGTAAGAGTGGATGCCAGAGCTGGGGCCTTTTGTCACTTAATATAACAGAGTAGCTTATAAGCCTTTCTAACCCAACTACTGAATTCAACACAAAGGCACACCACTGTGACACAATGGCTTCCTGAAATCTGTTACTGGGTAAGGAAAATTTCCTAGGCACATTATATTTACTCATAAGATTAGCAAATGGGAGAGAGAAACTTTAAGGATTTATTCTCCAATTATTTCTTAAAATTAATTTTTTTTAATTTCAATTTCGATTTAACAGTTGCTTAAAGGAGCTCTGGTGGCACAGTGCCTTAAGCATTTGACTGCTAACCATAAGGTTGGTGGTTCAAACCCACCAGTCCCTCCCTGGAAGGAAGACTGGGCAATCTACTTCCATAAAGATTTACTGCCTTGGACATCCAATGGGGTCACTAGGAGTCGGAATTGACTCGATAACAGTGAATTTGGTTTTACTGGTTTTTTCACTTACCAGCAAATAATTTAGTATTTACAGACACCACACAAAGGTGTGGAAATCAATTTAATTGAAAAGCCCTGTTCATACATTGTTTTAGGTAAAATTGTTAGTTCAGAAGTATTTTTTACCTATTTCATACTTCTTTCATTAGTTAGATATTAATATTCAATACTTTTTGGAAATTTTATTGAATAAGTAGAAGCAAGTATTTTCCTCCCACAGGTGGTGAAATGGGCCTATTGTCTTCCAATTCCATTTAAAAATGTTTTAATTCAGAAGTGGCATACATATAAAAGTTTGTAAAATACACATACACAGTTGAAAGAATAATATGAAGAAAAAGACTATTGTCATAACTTGGAAGCCTCCATGTGTCTGTCCCACGTATCATGTTCCCCTCCAGTTCCTAGTAGTAATCACCACCTTGATTTTTAAAAAACTCCCTCTATAGTTTTACCAGGAGCTCTGGTAGTGCTGTCGTTAAAAGCCTTTGGCTGCTGATCAAAAGGTTGGGGTTTCCACTCTACAGGAGAAAGATGAGGCAGTCTGCTTCTATAAAGATTTACAGTCTTGGAAACCCTAGGGGGGCAGTTCTATTCTGTCTGATAGGGTTGCTATGAGCCAGGATCAATTTGATGGTAGTGGTTTTGGTGTTGGGGTTTACAGTTTTACCACCTATGCATGTAACCCTAACAATACAATATTCTACTTGAGTCGGGTCCAACTCGACAGCACGTAACAACAACAACTTAGTTTTGTTTCTAAACTTTTTACAAATGGAATCATACTATAAATTATCCTCATATGGTTTATTTTTTTAAGTCAAAGTCATGCTTGACATTAATCCACACTGATGCATGTAGCTGCAGTTCTTTAATTTTTCACTGCATGTAATATTTTACTAATAACCATATAACAGAAACTAAAGTGTCATTATTCACAGATGACATAATTTTGTATGTAGAAAATTTAAAGAACCCAAAAATAAATTATTACAAGTAAGCTTAGTTACACTGAAGATACAAGGTCAATATAAAAATAATACCCAATTCTATACATAAATTAGAAAGTAATATTGTTTAACAAGGTATCTTTTATAATACCAAAAATAGAAAATACTTATAAATAAATCTAATAAGAGATGTGTAAATTTCTACACAGAAAACTATAAAACACTTTTGAGAAAAATTAGAAGACCTAAATAAATAGAGGGGTATATGAATCAAGTTCTAGACTGAAAACTGCTCAGTGCAATCTTAATCAAAATCCCAAGGGTTTTTTAGCATGGAAACTGACAAGCTGGTTCTAAAATGTTCATGAAAATGCAAAGGACCAAGAACAGCCAAACACACTCTCAAACAAAACCAATGACGTGGGAGAACTAGCTAAGATTTTTTTAAAAAGGAGCTTTTGTGGCATAATGCCTAAGGCATCTGACTGCTAACCAGAAGCCTGGAGGTTCAAACCCTTCTGTCACTCCTCGGAAGGAAGGTTGGGCAATCTACTTCTGTAGTGATAGAACCTTGGAAACCCAAGAAGGGGTCGCTATGAGTTGGATCCAACTCGACCATAGTGAGTTTTTATATATATATTATATTTTATGTATATATATGCTTGAAGCTACTCTAATGCAGATTTGTCTAGAAAAGGGTCTATATGTAATCATATAGACTGTGTGTATGAAATATATCTGGGAGAAGGAGAGACACTGCAGAGAACTCAAATACAAACGTAACTGGACAAATTCTATGGTACACTGAGCCTTACAAAACTTATTTATTCCATTTGCAGACATAAAAATCAGAATGGAATACAAGTTCTGAAGTCTAAGTTTAATAATCAGGACACTGATTTTCTTAATCTAAATAAACCTAATAATACATCCTTAACAGGACTAAAAGAATTAATAAAGAATACTGTTAGCGTAACTACAGTTCTAAACTATAAATCTAAGACACATACTCTTTAGACACATGTGACAACAATGTAGAATGGCAGGACTTGGATTTCAGACACTATTCAACATCTGTGTTCTAAACCCAACTGTATCGCTGATGGACAGACATCCTATTATTTCAAGGCAAAAACTTTACAGAAATTAAACTGTGTTAAGGGAGTCCTGGTAGTGCAGTTGTTAAAGCACTTGGCTACTAACCAAAATGTCAGTGGTTGGAACCCATCAGTTGCTCTGTAGGAGAAAGATGTGGCAATCTGCCTCCGTAAAGATTTACAGCCTTGGAAATCCTATGGGCAGTTCTATTCTGTCCTAAAGGGTCTCTATGAGTCAAGATCCACTCAATGCCAACGGAAACGGTGTTAAAGGGAGTTCTTCAAGCTTAAATGCACAGCCAAAAGATCACCAGGAAGGCACTGCTCATTTTCACTCTCTAGATACCGAGCTGTTGACAACTGTCTCTGATGACCGATATGTTCTGTAGTCTGTGTTGGCCAAAGCATACGTGCTTACTGGGCACTTGAAGTGTAGCTAACGTGACTGAGGAAGTAAATTTTTAATTTTAATGAATTTAAATGTAAACAGAAACATATTAACTAGTGGTAACCATATTAGTGCAGTTCTACATGGTACACTACAAAAATCAATGAAGGGATAAGAATTATGTTTTAGTTTATCTTAATAAAATTCTGCCAGAATCTTTTTTTCTTTTCC